TGAACTAGGAGGGAGCTGGCTCCACCTTGGAGGAGGGGAGGCAAGAAGCCGCCTGAAGCCCAGAGCTCCAGCATTTCATCTGGAGGGAGGTGGAAGTGTGGCTTTTGGAGATAAAGGGACAGGGGTCTTTTGGGGTGCACTGAGAAGGGGAAAGGAGACCAGTGCATAGCTTTGAGTATCTAGAAAGGGAGATTTGAGGGGGCTGATTTAATGGATGAGAGTGATTTAACTTAAAGGATTAGGGGCTTGGTATTCATGGTATTCATGAAGGGTTAAGGATGGTAAGAAAAAAAAAGGACTAGGGGCATTACCCGTGGGCCGAGGTACACAAGCTTCACTTTTGAGGAAAAGTGAAGCTGGGAAGTGTGAGATCTACTCGGGGGGTCCGGGAAACATGAGAGGAGTAAGGAGAGTAAAGACACAGACGCGTTGGGGGCTCGGGGCTAGCATGGCAAAGAGAAGGGGTTCCCTGGATCCTGACTGCAGAAGGGACTGGTAGGGTCTCAGGTTGAGGTCCAAGAGCACTTAAAAGGAGCAAGTGGTAGAACAGATTTGGGGAATATGTATGGGTAGAAGAGAATGATAAGTGAGCTACAGAAACAGGTAGAAGTAACTATCAGGGTAAATATCGTGGGGGTTACAGAAAATGCTTTGGTACCTGAGAGCTACTGAGCAGATGCTATTCGAAGGATCAGCAGGAGACAGCGATGGTACAGGGCGGGGGTGGCGGGGGAGGAATGTTTAGAGATGGCAGAGAGAAATGTAAGGCATCAAGATAAGTACATATTACGAGTTGAGACTTCGGAAAAGTCTCCTGGGCCCAGTGTGAAAGGTGAGAGGTCATGTAAACAAACATTCGGAGGCCCAAGGATCTGGCTTGGCTTCTGAATGACCACCGGCTTCTTCCCCTGCATGTGTCCCCAGGTTCCGGAATGAGGACTACACCATACACGTGCAGCTAAATGACTACGTGGACATCATTTGTCCCCACTACGAGGATCACTCTGTAGCAGATGCTGCCATGGAGCGCTACATCCTGTACCTGGTGGAGCGTGAGGAGTACCAGCTGTGCCAGCCCCACTCCAAGGACCAGGTCCGCTGGCAGTGCAACCGGCCCAATGCCAAGCATGGCCCGGAGAAGCTGTCTGAGAAGTTCCAGCGCTTCACACCTTTCACCCTGGGCAAGGAGTTCAAAGAAGGACACAGCTACTACTACATCTGTGAGTGCCCATGAGGGGACAGTGTCTGTGTTCTTTCTGCCACCACACACACACTTGGGTACATGCTTGGTGCAGAGTCCAGCAGCAGAGGACCATTTCAATTCTATTGAAATAGAATTCCAATCCTGAATTCTATTTTCATTCATCCACATCACAAATGTGAGCGTCTACTGTGTGCTGGGCACTCTGCTTGGCACGTGGGCACAGAGATAAATAGAACACTACAGAGCCCCTGTCCTCAAGGAAGCTGGAAAGAAACACACATAGGTTAACAGACCCTTAAAGCAGTGTACTACAGTAGACATGAACACAGGGGCCTTGGGAAAATGACCTGGGCACCTGCCAGGCTATGGGGCTCAGAAAAGGCTCAGTGGGAAAGATGATCCTAGAGCTTAGGACAAGCAGAGGAGCTGGCCAGGCATGAAGGCACACGTACAAAGGAAGCATGACATCTTCAGGGAACTTCCTATGGTTCAGCCTGGCTGAAGTGGGAGGGACACAGGAAGTGAGGAGAGGTGAACAGGACAGACCATGGGGGGCCTAAAAGGTGATAAGGAGTTTGGACGTTAACCTGAGGGCTCTCATCACTGATGGGTCTTGTTTTATTTTTTGTGACAGAGTTTCCCTCTTGTCCAGGCTGGAGTACAATGGTGGGATCTCTGCTCACTGCAACTTCTGCCTCCCGGATTCAAGCGATTCTCCTGCCTCAGCCTCCCAAGTAGCCGGGATTACAGGCACTCGCCACCATGTCCAGCTAATTTTGTATTTTTAGTAGAGACGGGATTTCACCATCTTGGTCAGGCTGGTCTCAAACTCCTGACCTCAAGTGATCCACCCACCTCGGCATCCCAAAGTGCTAGGATTACAAGTGTGAGCCACCACACCCAGCCTGATGGATTTTAAAAGTTATGAGATCACCCATCACTTTGGGAAGCCAAGGTCTCCTGAGGTTCAAGACCAGCCTGGCCAACGTGGCAAAACCTTGACTCTACTAAAAAAATAGAAATATTAGCTGGGCGTGGTGGCGCACACCTGTAATCCCAGCTATTCAAGAGGCCGAGGCAGGAGGATCACTTGAACACAGGAGGTGTGAGGTCGCAGTGAGCCGAGATCATGCCACTACATTCCAGCCTGGGTGACAGAGCGACACTCTGTCTCAAAAAAAAAAAAAGTTATGAGATGGGCTTTGTATAAAATGGATCTAGGACTCTTGTCAGTGGGGCCTAGGCAGGAATAGTGTTGTTTTGTTTTGTTGTGAGACAGAGTCTCACTCTGTCACCCAGGCTGGAGTGCAGTGGTGTGATCTCGGCTCATTGCAACCTCCGCCTCCCAGGTTCAAGCCATTCTTCTGCCTCAGCCTCCCAAGTAGCTGGAACACACCGCCATGCCTGGCTAATTTTTGTACTTTTAGTAGAAACGGGATTTCACCATATTGGCTAGGCTGGTCTTGAACTCCTGACTTCATGCTGTGTGTCTGTCCTGATTTCTACAACTGGAGTTTTTTCATACAATGTTCTTTGTATCAAAATAAAGCAATGTGTTTTTTTCCCACATTGGCCTCCCAAAGTGCTGGGATTACAGGTGTAAGCCACCGTACCCAGCCTAGGAATAGTATTAAATGGCCCAGGCAAGAGGAACATATGGTGAAGCCCTCACGCTTCAGACTCGAAGGAGTGAAGGATGAAATGTGGGGCGGGGACAGTGTCTATGTTCTTATGTCACTACTGCCAAACCTGACAGTTGTTTCCAAAGAATGGCAGATTGGGCTGAACTATAGGCAGGAAGTTAGCAAAAACTAAGGAGGGTAAGAATCAAGGTTAGAGGAAAGAGTAGAATGAAAATGAGTAGGGATCTGAGAAAGCAGGGTGAGGGGCATTTGGACTTATATTTTCTTCCAGCAAAGGTTTCTTCCTTAACCCCCTGTGGGCTTATCTTGCAGCCAAACCCATCCACCAGCAGGAAGACCGCTGCTTGAGGTTGAAGGTGACTGTCAATGGCAAAATCAGTGAGTGTCAGGGCCCTGTGGGCCTCCTTCCTCCATCTCTATGCTGGGTGCAGTCTAGTGAACTGGGATGGTATAGAAGTCTTGCAGCCTAGCCACTCAAACTCACAGCCCTCTGCCTCTTTGATACCATACCTGATCTATTACCACTCTTGTCTTTCAGCTCACAGTCCTGAAGCCCATGACAATCCACAGGAGAAGAAACTTGCAGCAGGTGGGTAGCTGGAGCAAATTGGGCCTGGGGCACAGGAAGAGGTCTGCTTGAAGAGGTTGGGTACAGGAAGTGGCTCCTTTACCAGGCAGAGGCTGAGGGAACCCTGTTGGGCTGAGGGCCAGTGTAAATACTGGGGCCATTCACATTGGGGGCCTTTGCCCTCTTGCCTTGCAGATGACCCAGAGGTGCGGGTTCTACATAGTATCGGTCACAGTGCTGCCCCACGCCTCTTCCCACTTGCCTGGACTGTGCTGCTCCTGCCACTTCTGCTGCTGCAAACCCCATGATGAAGGTGTATGCCACACGTGGCCTTAAGGATTGGAACTGGGCTGAAGAGAGGGACAGGCACTCCAAACCTGTCCTGGGGCCACTTTCAAAGCCCCCAGCCCTGGGAACCACTCCCACCACATGCACAAGCTGTCACCCAGCAGCCTCAAAACGGGTCAGTATTAAGGGTTTCAACTGGAAGGAGGTCGACCAGCCTGGCAGTGCCATCCCCACCTTCACCTCGGATGGATGGAGAAAGAAGTGGAGACTGTCCTTTCCCACCATTCCTGCCTTTAAGCCAAAGAAACAAGCTGTGCTGACATGGTCCCCTGAGGCACAGTGGGAGCTGAGCTGGAAGGGGCCACATGGATGGGCAAAGCTTGGCAAAGATGCCCCCTCCAGGAGAGAGTCAGGATGCCCAGATTAACTGACTGAAGGAAAAGCAAGAAACAGTTTCCTGCTTGGGAGCCAGGTACAGGAGAGGCAGCATGCTTGGGCTGACCCAGCATCTCCCAGCCAAGACCTCATCTGTGGAGCAGCCACAGAGAGGTTTGTAGCCAGGTACTGCATTCTCTCTCATCCTGGGGCAGCACTCCCCAGAGCTGTGCCAGCAGGGGGGCTGTGCCAACCTGTTCTTAGAGTGTAGCTGTAAGGGCAGTGCCCATGTGTACAGTCTGCCTAGAGTGTAGCCTAAAGGGCAGGGCCCACATGTACAGTATCTGTATATAAGTTGCTGTGTGTCTGTCCTGATTTCTACAACTGGAGTTTTTTTATACAATGTTCTTTGTCTCAAAATAAAGCAATGTGTTTTTTCCGGACATGCTTTTCTGCTACTCCATATTAAAGCTTATGACCATTGAGTCCCTGCTAAGTACTAGGCTCTGTGCTACAACAGTAGCAACTGGGTTTGAATTTCTTTCTCCGAAGAATGCATGCCCCTCACCAGGCTAAAAGGGTGGGGTGTTTCCTCCTCTGAGGGTTGTCCAAGACCAGAGTGCTCCTGATAGCAGTCTCTCGGGTTCTGAGCTGCACTCCACTCTGGAAGCTCTTCCTGTCCAACCTCTACCCGACTCCCACCCCCTCACCCCCCTCACCGCAGGGCTTTGGCATGCCACGGTTCAGGTACTCATGCTGTTTGGATGAGTCAGGGAAGCTGGGAACGCCAGCTGAGGCATGCGGCCCCGCCTCACAGCCACACCAGCAGAGACGGGTGGGAGGCTGGGAGGGAAAGTTGCCAGCAGCAAGTGGGTTGGACCGGGGGTCAGTGACAGAGGCGTCAGTGGATTGGCCACATCATATAAAATTGACCTGACCTTGTGGCCCGAGAGGAAGGGCAAAAGAGGAAGGCTTGGTGATTCTCGGCAATGTCTGTTATTTTGAGAAAAGGCTTCAGCAACAAACTTCAGGAAAAAACCTCCCAAACCCTGGGCAACTGGGGTTCTGATGTGGAGCTCTGGATGGAAAGCGTGAAGTCTGGTAGAATCTCGCAAGCTTTTGTTTGGAGTTCCACCGCCGAAGGCGCACAGGCCTGTAGGAACACGAGCGTTGAGACGGGTCTAGATGATCCAAGGGGTAGGCACAGTGTGAGGAGCGGCAGGTATCGCGGACACATCCGCGGAGCCCTAGGAATGGCACCGACCGGGACCTGGAAGAGGGCTGGACCAGGGCACTGGGCAGGCGCTCGGAGGGGCAGAGCGCGAGTTCCGGTTCGGTGGCGGAGGGGGCGGGGCTTAGCGCAGTTTCCGGAGGGACGGCCCGAGCGCGCGGGGGCGGAGCCGAGGGCGCGGGGCGGGGCTCCAGCTCCGCAGGTCTAGGTCGCGGTAGGTCCCGGCCACCGCAGGCTGGCGGCCGGCGCTTGGCGCGGGATCCGACTCTGGTCGTGATGGAGGCGGGCGGCTTGCTCGACTCGTTCATTTACGGAGCATGCGTGGTCTTCACTCTCGGCATGTTCTCCGCCGGCCTGTGAGAGCGCGGCGGGACTGGGCTGGGGAGGACTAGAAAGTCAGGAAGGGAGAGAGGGCAGAGACGTGGCCACAGCACCTGGCTCGTCTGGAACCCGGGATCAAAGTGGGATCGGGTCGAGGGGACCAGGGTACAAGGGCGAGGCTGGTCACTAGGCCTGAGGGAGAAGGCAGGATAGCTGGGGGGCGGGGGGGGCGGGGTCTGCGGTGGTCCGGGAAGGATGACAGGCATTGGGCATCCCCACCAAACACTTTGCTTCTCCCTTCTCACCCTTCACCCCTCCCTTCGGGGCCCCATTACAGCTCAGACCTCAGGCACATGCGAATGACCCGGAGTGTGGACAACGTCCAGTTCCTGCCCTTTCTCACCACGGAAGTCAAGTGAGGGAGCGACGGCTGCGGCGGTGGGAAAGGCTATCAGAGGGAGGTGGGAGCGGGGTAGGAGCATGAGTGAAAGAGCCCCTTTGGGTCCTCCTCTCACAGTGACCTCTTTGAGCCATGTCCCTCTCCACCCTGCAGCAACCTGGGCTGGCTGAGTTATGGGGCCTTGAAGGGAGACGGAATCCTCATCGTCGTCAATGCAGTGGGCGCCGCACTTCAGACACTGTATATCTTGGCGTATCTGCATTACTGCCCTCGGAAGGTAGAGGCCCCACCTTGGACCCACCTCTCTGCTGCACGCTCTGCCTTGCTGGCAGAGTAAACACTGCTTCCTAGAAGACTAACAGCTGGCACTGCCACTCTTTCCAGGAAGGCCCCTCCAGCCTTGCAGGTCTCCTTCCTCTGTGAAGCCAGCCTTCTGAGATGCACACATTGTCCCCATTTAGGCAAGGCTGGTAGCTGTATCTAGCCTGAGATGCTTATGCTGCCAGCAAGCTAGGGGGAAAGGGCTTTTGTCTCTGATATTTTTTTTCAGAGCCAGGGCCTGTGGGTGAGAATGAGATGATTAGCTCTGCTTCCCTGCTCAATCGCACAAGCATTTATGAAGTTCCTACTGTGTGTGCCAAGCACACAGAAAGAAACACATCTTTCCCTGCCCTAGAAGTCTCCGGAATTGTGGGTGTATAAGACTTTCCTATCAAGTTGCTGGCAGGAAAGATGCTGTGACAGTGCAGTGCTGGAGGCCTAAACAGTCTGGCTTCCCCATTGGAGCATGGGAAAAGGCAGGATGAACTAATTCTAGCAGGGAAGTCCGAGTGCACATCTGGAAGTAAGGCTACTTTCTCCCCTGCAGCGTGTTGTGCTCCTTCAGACTGCAACCCTGCTAGGGGTCCTTCTCCTGGGTTATGGCTACTTTTGGCTCCTGGTACCCGACCCTGAGGGCCGGCTCCAGCAGCTGGGCCTCTTCTGCAGTGTCTTCACCATCAGCATGTACCTCTCACCCCTGGCTGACTTGGTGAGTGAGGGTGTCCAAGGAGGTAGAATAGGTAAGAGTCAGGCTCTTATAGCCAAATACTATGCCTTACAGTCCAGAGGAAGGGGAGATCCAAACCCTGCAAGGAGACAAGGCTGTAGAGGTGGGCAAGTGGGAGGCAGGAAAGGTGGTGACAGATCAAGGAGGGTGTCTGACCTTTTTCCAGAGAAAATTCTTAGGCAAGTGAAAGCTTTACTATGTGCTTGGCCCAGGAGAGTCTTTCATTCTTTCCCACAGGCTAAGGTCGTTCAGACTAAATCAACCCAGTGTCTCTCCTACCCACTCACCATTGCTACCCTTCTCACCTCTGCCTCCTGGTGCCTCTATGGGTTTCAGCTCAGAGATCCCTACATCATGGTAAGCAGAAAAAGGGATGGGGGCCGGGCGCGGTGGCTCAAGCCTGTAATCCCAGCACTTTGGGAGGCCGAGGCGGGTGGATCACGAGGTCAAGAGATCAAGACCATTCTGGTCAACACGGTGAAACCCCGTCTCTACTAAAAATACAAAAAATTAGCTGGGCATGGTGGCGCGTGCCTGTAATCCCAGCTGCTCAGGAAGTTGAGGCAGGAGAATTGCCTGAACCCAGGAGGCGGAGGTTGCGGTGAGTCGAGATTGCGCCATTGCACTCCAGCCTGGGTAACGAGAGCGAAACTCCGTCCCAAAAAAAAAAAAAAAAAAAAAGGGATGGGGTGACAGGTATGCAAGGTGGAAAACTGGCTCCTCTCCTCATAGCAGTTCTTGTGATTTCAGGTGTCCAACTTTCCAGGAATCATCACCAGCTTTATCCGCTTCTGGCTTTTCTGGAAGTACCCTCAGGAGCAAGACAGGAACTATCGGCTCCTGCAAACCTGAGGCTGCTCACCTGACCCCTGGGCACCTAAGTGCCAACCTGAACCAAAGAGAGCTCCTTGTTTCAGCTGGGCCTGCTGTCCAGCTTCCCAGGTGCAATGGGTTGTGGGAACAAGAGATGACTTTGAGGATAAAGGGACCAAAGAAAGAGCTTTACTTAGACGATTGGTTGGGGCCTAGGAGATGAAATCACTTTTATTTTTTAGAGAGATTATTTTTTTTAATTTTGGAGGTTGGGGTGATATGTTTAGAATATGCCTTAAAATAAAGTGTTCCCCACCCCTGCCTATGATGGTTCATTCTCTACTCATGATTCCAAACCTGCCTGGTTTGGTGATAGGTGGATCCAGTTATTCTCAGGTTGGTAGGGTAGGCTCAGAAAAGGTATCTCAAAGAACCAAAAGGTTGGAAAGACCCAGGAAGGACTTAGAAAGAACAAAAGTTAGATGTTATAAAGAATGGAAGCCTTCAAGAAAGTACTTCTGGCTGGATAAGGTGGCTTATGTCTGTAATCACAGCACTTTAGGAGGCCCTGGTGGGAGGATCACTTGAGCCCAGGAGTTCAGGAAGAGCCTAAGCAACACAGCGAGACCATGTCTGCACGACAAATTAAACATTAGCCTGGTGGCACATGCCTGTAGTCCCAGCTACTCTGGAGGCTGAGGTAGGAGGTTTGTTTGAGCCCAGGAAGGGGAGGCTGCAGTTGATTGCATCACTGCACTCCAGCCTGGGCAACAGAGTGAGATAAAAAAAAAAAAAAAAAAAAAAAAAAAGCAAAAGTACTTCCTACAGGGTTAAAAGGACCAGGACAGTGAAATGTAATTTCCATCCTGAGATATCTTGAGAAGGAGTCTTTACCTCCTTGGGAGCAAAAATGGGAACACCAGCAAGATGCAAAGATAAAGGCTGAGATGGCCTCAGGAAGGTGGTTCTTTCACATTCACTTCTCGACCGTTAGTACACAGAATCCCCAATATCCATTTTCCATACTCAAACTAAAAGAAGTTAGAAAATAAACTGGCTCTTTAATGGGGAATGGGAGGAAGGGCTGTCCGGGCAGGAATCGGGTTAGGCTGTCAGAAGCGCAGCCCCCTGCGGGCTAAGTCGGCTCGGGCTTCCTGTATCTGGCTCTGCAGCTCGCGTGCAGCATCCTCGCAGTCATGAAAAGTGGCCACACGATAGCCCACAGTGCCCAAGGCATAGCAGCCAGCGGACACCAGCAAGTAGGCGGGCAGTGGCCACAGGACTTCCTGGCAGGACAAGGGCAGCTCCAGGCCCAAGGCTCCCGTGGTCAGGGCCGCCCAGGTGGAGCCCAGGATCGCCAGTCCCCAAAGCCACTGCGCTAATTTCGTCATGGTCACTGCGAGAAAAGAAAGCAAAGCTCCCCTGAGGAACAGAAAGGAAAAGCGCACCAAATTCACCCGACGCCCGCCCACCAGAGGGAGCATTTAAACCAGCCCTAGCCAGAGGGGAATCACCGATCCCAGCGGTTCTAACTTGAGCATCCGCAAAAGGTGGAAGGGTTCCTTCCATCTTGCTAACCCCTCTACATCTGAGACCCATTCCCCAGCTCTCCCCCTCTCCATTCAGTCTTCAATCCACACTTACCTCTTGGCCCCGCGTCTCCCCTTCCCCGGCGGCCTGGATGTCTGCGTCCGGAAGTCCTCCCTGGCTCACGTTCTGCTTCCGCGCAGCCTTCTGGGAGTTGTAGTTCACATGGCAGCGCCCGGCGTGCTCGTGGCCACCGCCTCAGTCTAGGCGGGGTCCAGCAGGCTGTGCTCCGCAAACGGCGAGCTGGGAGAGCCCTCGGCGATGCTTCCCCACCTTGGGCTACGCTCTAAGCTGGCGTGGGGCTTGTTAAATGTTGCAAACCATGGGAATATAATACAGTTCCCCTTAAACTCAATTCTCCAGCACTGAAATCTTCATTCACCTGTTCATTAATTCGAACATTCTTTCTTTTTTTTCTTTCCGTTCTTTTTTTTTTTTTTTGTTCATTAATTCGAACATTCTTTCTTTTTTTTCTTTCCGTTCTTTTTTTTTTTTTTT